CAGGTAAGATGAAAAAGTACATTGTACCAAGATTTTATATCAACAAATAACTGCAATATAAATTGAGAGCGGTGATTACACTGGTAAAGATATATGTCTTAGGTACTAATATTGGGGAGGTGGGTAGTACAAGATACAGTGTGAGTTTGAAGCACAAGGTAGGAAACAATGAGGATGAAACTATGTACTTTTTGGTTTTACTTTTGAATAGGTTGGACAACTTTTTTTAATTCGTAAGGGGGTGAGTTCCAAAGACTGGGTCACCTAGGATGATGTGATTTTTGTTGAGTTTGTTGTTTATGATTAGGTTCCCTATATTATCCGAGAATGTAGTTGTATAAGTATTGGGACATGAAATAAAATAAGAATCAGTGTACTTGGGTAAGTAGGATACAGATGACATTAGGATCATCTGTATGTACATTTTAAGGATGTATTAGCCTCTGTCTCTCTCTCTCTTTCTCTTGTATCTGGGAGATAGATAGTGGTTACATTTGGTTTTAGCTAGACTTATAATGTTCCAAATGGGAAGTGTTAAGTGGTGAGTTGGTGGTTGAAGGTTTGTCAATTTCATGATGACGGGTTTGTGGTCCTTACCAATGTCCGGTCCAGTGTGAAATTGTAGTTCATGTTGAAAGTGTGTTAAACTACAATATGTTTACTGAGGTTTCGTAATTGGGTTTGTAGTTAATGTTGGGAGGTATGGTGGTGATAGGAGAGTATGTATGGTGTAGTGTCTAGGTATTTATTGAGTTAAGTGCCTGCTATGTTTTGAGTACCTCTACTCCACGTGAGGTGGTTGGCATTAAAGTTGCCTGCAATAATGATTGGGTGTCTTAATTGGTCTAGAAAGAAATATAATTAATTTAGGCTTCGTGTTCCTCCGGAGTTATACATATCCAGGAAGATGTGTACTCACCTGTTTAACCTGTGTGTTTGTTGTAAGGTGTAAACCATGTTAAACTTTCTAGTTTACCATTTGGGAAATGATTTAATGTTATGGCTTTGCATATTAGGTTACTTGTTAAATGGAAAACGCTTCCACCAACGCCGTTTCATTCTGCCATGTATGCATATTATCGTTTTTAAAAATGGAATAATGTTTGGGAGTTAGCCACGATTCGTTTGTGAAAACAAGGACTGGGTTTGACGAGTCCAGGAACTGATTTAGTTGTGTGTGATGCGGGCACCATGCTCGTGTTCAGTTCAGGTACGTTTGGGCAGTTACTGCATCTGTTTTTCTTGGTAATCTAGTGAAACAGAGTTTTTTATATCTGGGAACGGGTGTTGTGGAGAAGGGGCGTGTGTTTTATTTTTTCAGTCGGTTGTGTATTGGGTATTTTGTGAGTTTCTTAATTTTATATTTTGTGGTTGTGTTATGTGACGTGGGGATGGATTGAGTTTATAACGTACGATTATGTTTTGTTATTTGGGTTGATTAGATACACATGGTGTTTCATTTTTATTTAGTGGTCTTGGTTACAGCAGTCGGTTTGTTGGCAGTGTCGTAGAAGTTGAGACGAAGTTTGGAGCAGAGCAGAGAGCTAAGTGAGGCCGGAGTCGTGGACCTCCATGTGAGGGGACGAGAACGTGGAAGTTCGATGTGGTCGGAGTCTGTCCATCTGCTCTGTGTCGGAGCTGAAGCGTCTTGGGGTCGGTTAGAACTGGACACGCCGAGTGCTATGTTATTGAGGTTGAAGGTGTGCGGTAACTCTCAAGCTTCTGCACTGATTGATGACGATTAAGCCACCCAAGAGGTAGTACGGGCATGAATAGCCCGTAATAATAGATGTGGGTGTGGTGTGTGTTGAGTCAGCCTCGGGGATGGATTGAATTTGTTGTGTTAAGAATTGATTAAAGCCATCAACCACAATCAGTAGTGACATGTGTCAACAAAATCTTATTTTATTATTATTATTTATATATACAAGAGTTCTTACATTCTTGTACAGCCACTAGCACGCGTAGCGTTTCGGGCAGGTCCTTAATCCCATGTTCCCCGGAATACGACCCGCCAAATCGTTTAACTTTTATTTATTTATTTATTTATTTATTTATTTATTTATTTATTTATTTATTTATTTATTTATTTATTTATTTATTTATGCATATACAAGAATGTACATAAGGAATGTGAGGATACAAATATGGTAATTACAGTCTTGTAAAGCCACTAGCACGCGCAGTGGCTTTAACTTGGTTAAAGCATTTAACTTGGTTAAAGATTAACCAGGTTATTTGATTTCCGTCACCAGCCAGCCACTCTCTCGTCTCCACCGTTACACTAAAGTAATATACATATAATTATATAAATAAATAAATAAATAAATAAATGTTTATTCAGGTAAAAGTACAAATATACAAGAAGTTACAAACAGAATGTTGGATTTCTAGACAGAAGTAGTAGATATTATGCCTAAATCCACTAATACGCTTCCCGCAAGATGTGGGAAAAACACTTAGACTAAAATGCACACAGAAATCACAATAGGGTGAATAAATCCACAAGGGCCGCGATGAGGGTTCGAACTTATGCCCGGGATGATCCCAGACACGCCTTAACCGACTGAGCCACATGGTAAAAAAATTGCAACCGGCCCTTGTGGATTTATTCACTTACACTAAAACTTAAACTGTGCTTCCATCTTTTATAACTCATGACAAAAGCATAGATTTTGTTAGTAGTCTAGTGGTGTTGACAATATCTTTGCGGATTCAAATACGCGAGCAAGCTAACGTGTAGATGCAGAGTCCTCCAAAGAAGGCAAGGAATTGGAGGCACTGAAAATCAGGAGTAGGATTGGAGTAGGACAAGGGACTCAACTCGCCCCTCTAGCTCCTTCATTATGGATAAGTTTCATCTGTTTCACAAGGTTTGTGAATGTAGGCATGCAGCTTGTTACATTGTGCGTGCGTGTGCGTGCGTGCGTGCGTGCGTGTGTGTGCGTGCGTGTACTCATGTAGTTGTGCTTGCGGGGGTTGAGCTCTGCCTCTGGTCCCGCAGCTGAACTGTCAATCACCCTTATTCGTAATTAGGTCAACTTTATTCGTAATTAGGTCAACCTTATTCGTAATTAGGTCAACTTTATTCGTAATTAGGTCAACCTTATTCGTAAATGTTTATTTGTACATTTGTCTTTTCTATGCGGCCTTCTGCAATACTTGCGCACTGTACATGTAGGCATTGTCTTATAGTTTTAATTTACAGTTATATTTCCTTTTTTTTTTTCCTTTTGCCCTTTGAATCGTAAAATCGATTTCAAAGTTTATAGCAGAACTAGATGAGGTACCCGGCTGTAACCGGGTCTCTTTTACCTCTCTCCCAATTCCCCCCCCCCTCTCATCTCTCTTCTCTAACATCTGTCTCTTACCAATTCTTCCACTCTTCTACCCTCTCCATCCTCTTCCCTTTCTCACTTTTCCCTCCGTCTTCACCTCTCTCTCTCTCTCTCTCTCTCTCTCTCTCTCTCTCTCTCTCTCTCTCTCTCTCTCTCTCTCTCTCTCTCTCTCTCTCATTATCATAATTAGGTACATCTGCATTTATGCAGCTACTCTAGACCATATGAAGGGTCACATCATTTGTGTCTAGAACTAGCTGTGAAATGCTAAGAAATCCCTATATCGCAAAGATGGTTAGTCATACAGGGGCATGTGATCAATAGCCTGCTCTTGCAAACTTTGGAAGCAGTGTGAGGATACCCTATACAACACAAAGAGTGACTTAAAATAATTACAATGCTCCATATACTTCATACCGGCAGGTCTGGAGATTCCAATGACTGGACATTCATTAATGTTGTGTGTAGGATCATGACCGAATTCTTGCCTACAGAGTTTACACCTGGAGTGCTTAGGTTTGTGAGGTTCGCCCCATTGTAGCAGCCTTCAATAGGTAATGCTAGCCTATCCTGATCCTGGCAACCACAAATTCGCACTATCTGGTGGAAATTTTATACTGCCCATCTACATAGGTTTTAGATCTAAACAAATCATAACTTTTTATACTGGTGCTTTCAGGCCTTCGAGAGAGAATGTGATTTCTCATCTATCAGACCAGAATGTTTGTTAGGATGTTATTACGAAGCACTGAAAACACGGTTAAAAACTCTATGTAAAACACATCTTCGATTTTAGACTAATGCAAATCGTAGGGGGTCGTTATAGATCCCAATATTTCTTAAAGGATGGGACTGAGTCCGACCCCGACTATATAGCCTGTGACACTTGCATACCTCCCACGTGTCATCTTTGAAAATTACCTTCCTACTTTGGACAGAGAATCTATTTATAGAGATTGATTAGCAAAATTAAAGCAGTGTATTACGGGGCATACCGCGCGAGTTTCAGAATTATAATAGTTGATTATGCGCTGGTTCAGAAGTCAAGGGTAGCGAGCATAAACAACGGCACTGCGACACGTACCAAATAATTTTAATTAAATTAATTATACAAATAAAAAATAACAAAATATGACATATCCCACAAGTGAAATACAGATTTACAAATCTGTTGAAAAGGTGCTACTTATGAAGAATGTGAGAGGGAGAATGTTACAGGAAGAGCGGCGACTACTTCCCATATAACGATCGTCACTGATTACCTGACTACTGTTGCGGTAATTTTAGAGATAGCGTTTCATCCATGGGCCAGTATTAAATATATATATATAGGAACTTATATTGAAGAGAAGAACAGTGTAGGCTGTGGCGAGTCAGTGGCCAACAGTACCGCCAATCCTAACCAAACTTATCGTAATTATACTAAATGTAACCCAAACTAATCCTAACCTACCTGTCTCATCATTTCTCAATCCGTAACCGTTGGCAGGATCGTTGGTCTTGTGTAACAAGCTGTGTGCTCTTAGTTAAGGGTAGCCTTTCCTTATTGGGCCTTCCTCCTGCCACTGTAACCGGCGGAGGGTAATGGCTCGGGCATGGTTACATACTTTCCATACGCGTTTAACTCACCGGCACCTAATGGAACGCCGCCCTGCTGGCTGTAGTCCGAACACATTGCCCTTCTTACTGTCGTGCATTTTCATTTACTGCTAAGTGAAGAGAGGGGCATTAGGTGATTGGAAATGCCCCTCGACTCTTTGTCCCACTCGGGATTCGAATCCAGAATTCTCGATTACGAGTCGGAAAAAAACCGCCTGTACTACTGGGACCCCAACTGTCCATGGGTTCTGTTATACATACCTCTAGGAATTTTAATAATTATGAAGAGTAGAAGGGAATGTATTAAATGATCGTCTTCGGCACTAGTGATACATATATTTTGTTTTGCCAAATTAAGCAACGGCAATGAACAATGATGAGATAATGGACAAATATCTAAGTTACCCCCAGGCAGGTTTTCTGTGGAGGTGGTCTTATGTGACAGGTGTTGTGGGACGTGTGTTGAAGCGCTCATGTGTTGTGGGCGTGAAGGTGTTCCCGTCCAGTGTTGTGGTGTTGTGGGCGTGGAGGTGTTCTTGTCTAGTGGTGTGTTGTGGGCGTGGAGGTGTTATCGTCCAGTGTTGTAGTGGTGTGGGCGTGGACGTGTTATCGTCCAGTGGTGTTGTGGGCGTGTAGGTCCTGCTCTGCTAGGGTGTAGGTCGTGAAGGTCCTCGTCTCCAGTTGTGGGCCGTAAAGGCCCTTATCTGTGGTGGTGTTTTGGTCCTCGAGGCCCTCATCTGGTGGTAAAGGCCCTCATCTGGTTGTGTTGTGGGGTTGAAGGCCTGCATCTGGTATTGTAGACTTGAAGGCCCCCCCCCACACCCAGTGTTGTGGTGTGTAGGTTGTGGAGAAGGTGCAATGTACTACGGTGCATTGTGGGGATGAATGTCCTCGTCTTGTGTGGGTTGTAAGGGTGAAGGTTCCTATCTGGTGTAGACCAGCGGCGTGAAGTTCCTTCAATGTGTGAATTGTCCGAGCGAAGTTGCTTCGGTGGTGCGTGAGCCGTGGGTGTGAAGTCCCCGCATCTGGCAAAATAATACTCGAAGGATGCTTAACCAGTATATTCAAGAGCTGGAGCAGGTAGGGTGAATAATCTGAAGTTTGTTTTATTTAGATTGTTTGCCATCAGCAGTGGCTAGTTTATTGTGCACCCCGTACTCATGTTAGTAGCAGTTGTACAAAAGAATTAGAGAGAGCACAATATAGGCCTTGATTAGCTCCAGTGTTATTTAATATTGTTCATGTATTAGTACTGTAGTGAAATATGGATACAATGGATGTGTAGATATTTTTAATAATAATGTGCCATTTCATGCAAAGTAAGTTCAGATCTATTTCTAAATGGGTCAATATTCACACAGTGTAAGATATAATGCTCTTGTGTACGTCAATGTCTTGGTCTATACACTTTACGTTTCAAGGGATGTAGATTCTCGAGCAAGCTAACTTTCCAAAAAAGCTTTTAGCCAACTTGTATTTGAGCTGTGACAATGTCGACCAGACTACTAATTTTGTTTTATTGCTTCATATGAGTCTTTTTGCATGACACATTTTGTTGTGATAGACAATGGGATATTCTTTTGAAATTTTCAACATAGCCAAGTATAAATTATGCTAACCTAACCTTAAAGAATCTAAAGCAGCCTAACCTGACCTTAAAAAAAAAGACATAACCAAGCCTAACCTAATGTAACTTTAGTAAAACATAACCTTGCCTAGCCGGTCGGCCGAGCGGACAGCACGCTGTACTTGTGATCCTGTGGTCCTGGGTTCGATCCCGGGCACCGGCGAGAAACAATGGGCAGAGTTTTTTTCACCCTATGCCCCTGTTACCTAGCAGTAAAATAGGTACCTGGGTGTTAGTCAGCTGTCACAGGCTGCTTCCTGGGGGTGGAGGCCTGGTCGAGGACCGGGCCGCTGGGACACTAAAAGCCCCGAAATCATCTCGAGATAGCCTACAACAACTTAATCTTAACTCCTGCACTGTGCCCCTGTTTATAGCTGACAACATGCTAGTGTGCAGCAAATAATTCATCAGTTTTTTCCATCTACTGTATACTGTAGTTAAAATGTGTTTTCTAAACTGGAAAAAATTGTTTGCAACTTACTTTGGCCATGGTGAAGTCAGTGATGTTAGAATTCACGAGCATTCATGGACCGGTTGCCCCAGGGTGGTTGGCCAGGCCAGATGTGGAGCAGGAATAGCCATAAAGATGTTTTTATATACTTATTTCATTTTTTTTCATATACTGTACTGTACAGTATTTCAATGTCTTAATTAAAAAAAATCCACAACAAAATAAATTACACCAAACACCCAACAAAAAATATTTTCCAAAAACCCAAGACAAGTTTGTATTCAATTTATCTAAATTTGGTATTTTTTGGACAATTTCTTCAAAAGGTCAGATGTAACAAACAAGGAGCAATGATTTCAAGCTCAACAAGCCACACTGTAGGACTCAGAACAGGAGATGCTTTTTCACTCAGAGGGTTATTAACCCATGGAACTGCCTACGGGGTATCTGCTGAAGCCGTAACTGCCAAAATTGTGTCGAGTTTTAAAATATACTTAGAAAAGATCATACAGGCAAATTTGACACCTTAGACAAACTGCCGGGTTCATGTCTTCATTGAGGTCACTAGGGTTAGTGCCCTCGAGTAAATCAGGTTGTGCAATATTAATATTAAACTTGCAGGAAATTTCAGGAACTAAGTGAGAATAAAAAAAAAAAAAAGTGTTTCACAAGATATGATGAGAGACTTTAATCACTTCATTATCTATTATTTATTAATGTTTTATTGGTTGTTTTTGTACATACTGTATTCACTTTGTACTCACAAATATTGAAAGATATTCTTGTGCTGTACCCAAATTTTGCAGGTGTAGGCTAATAGATCATCCTTGCAATTCATGATCTCTCATCATTCCATGTATGACTAACTATCCTGTGAGATGGGGATATTAGATGTACTTATAGCTAGCTATATCTGCACTCTGTAATCTTTTATTTCAAATCAGGTAGCAGCACATTGATGTGTATATCTTAGATTGTAAATTAATAAAAAATAGCTATACAGAATATGAATTGTTTCAAACAATTCTCAGGTTTAATTTGGCATGTTGACCAATATTTATCATTGGTAAAAGTTTTAAATACAGTACAGTACAAGTGTTGTTTTTGGTATTTAAATTTGTAGCAATAACTAGTAAATTCAAATTACTGTAATGTTTAATTTACAGCACAGTAGTACTACAGTAGATCAAAATA